TGAAAAAAAAAATTTAATTGATTCCAGAGAGAGAGAGAGAGAATCGAATCACTGGTCAGCTGCCTCCTGCACACCCCACACTGGGATCGAGCCCACCACCTGGGCATATGGCCGGACTGGGAATCAACTGGGAATGGAACCGTGACCTGGTTCATCAGTCCATGCTCAGCCGCCGAGCCACGCCGCCCACCTAACCCCTTTCATCCCGAGCAGCTGGGGGCCCAGCTCCATGTGGAAGACGGGAACGGGCGGAGAGATGGCACCCGCTCCTGTGGGCCTGTGGGGCCCTCCTGCGGAGGCAGAGGGAGGTAAGGGCCGGGTTCCTCCTCCCCGGCCCGCCAGCTGGGCCTCCCCGCCCCCACCGGCCAGGCTGCGCGCAGGAAGTGAAAGGTGCCTGCAGGAAGCCCAGGAGGAACCGAGACTTCAGCCCTTCAGCCACCCTGCCCCGCCCCTCCTTCGGGAGAAACTGGCCGGACCAGGGGGACTGGGGGGAGGGGGGAGGCTTCCCCCGGTCCCCACCCCAGCAAGCAGCTCTTCCAGGCTCTTCGGATCCCTCTTCCTGCAGAAGGGACCAGCTGGGGAGGGACAGCTTTGAAGAGTGAGGAAATGAGTAGGATGGGGTCAGTATCTGACGTCGGCCCCTCCCAGGGCACCTGTGTCCATGGCTCGGGACGGGGCATGGGTCACAGGGCCCCTGTGTCCGTGGCCTTCTGGGTGGGGCAGGGACCGGGACCCAAGCCTGGGTCCAGCCCAGCTCCACCCCTGCTCATTGAATCTCGGGCCACATCCCTGACCTCCTCGGGCCTCTCTTTTCCTGTCAGCAAAATGTGCCATATAATCGGTCCCCATTTGCAGAAAAGCAATTCAACCAACAGGAGCCCTTAAAAAGGTCAAGGCCTTGTCTGGCCATTGTTGCTCAATGGTTAAGCATCCACCAATGAACCAGGAGGCCATGGTTCGATTCCTGGTCAGGACACATGCCCAGGGTTCAGGCTCAATCCCCAGTAGGGGGCGTGCAGGGGGCAGTCAATCTACAATTCTCTCATCACTGATGTCTCTATCCCTCTCTCCCCTTTCCTCTCTCTGAAATCAATACAAACATATTTAAAAATAAATAAATAGGAAGGTCGAGGCCTTTGGTTGCAACAGCTCTTCTGGGACACAGAGACATAGGCAAAGATTTATCTACAAGAAGGTGCTACTGCCTCGCTGGTTTGGCTCAGTGGGTAGAGCATAAAGGGTCCCAGGTTTGATTCCAGTCAAGGGCACTGTGGGGGCCCTGACCAGAGTACGCCCGAGGTTCAAGGCCGACTCGCCATTCCTGCGCGTACGGGCAAGGGCACAGCAGTATTGCTAGAGGCCCCTTGTGCCCTACGCATGAGCGGGGCAATGACTCAGCAGACGCACACCTTTATGTCACCTGCTGATGCTAATGTGGCACTGGTGGCACTGATTGGCAGGAGGACTCTTGAGTGTGTGTGTGTGTGTGTGTGTGTGTGTTTCTGTGTGTGTGTGTTTCTGTGTGTGTGTGTCTGGTGTGTTTCTGTGTGTGTGTTTCTGTGTGTGTGTGTGTGTTTCTCTGTGTGTGTGTGTGTGTGTGTGTGTGTGTGGACAAGGTGCCACTGACAGTTGTGGCTGCTTTGTTCCTAATAAAGCATGTCCCACCCACCTATTGTCATTCATGTGCTCTTCCAATTTCCTGCGCCCGGAGGGAGGGGTCCAGTCCCCAGCTGAGGAACTGGTCCCCAGCAGGCTCCTACCTCATTTGCAGGTTCCATCCTTGGCCCTGGTAGGGGCGTGTGTGGGAGGCAACCAATCTACGTGTCTCTCTCACATCGATGTTTCTCTCTCTCTCTCTCTCCCTCTCCCTTCCATTCTCCAAAAAAAATCAGTGGAAAAATATCCTCAGGTGAGGGTTAACAAAACAAAGCAGGCGCTACTGCCTCCGTTACAATCACAGTAACGGAGCCGTGGGAGAGTGGGCTGAGACCCCCAGGGGATGCCAACGACAGTGCTGAACCCCACATATACCATGCTTTTTCCTACACACACATTCCTGTAATAAACTTTAATGTATAAATCAGGCCCAGGAGATTGGCACAATAGCCAATAACAGAGCAATGCTAACAGCGCTCTGTAATGACAGCTGTGTGACGGGGGCCTCTCTCCTCAGGGGTCTTCTCGGTCTGTGGGCTCATGCTTTCTGGCCCAATGCGTCGCCGTCGGCCAGAGCCTGTTTTCTGTTCAAGCCTCTCACTCACAAACGTAATGTCCTTTCCATCCTAACCCAGCACTCACCACCCGCCGGGGCTGCAGCTTTGGCAGTCTGAGGAGCAACAGCAAAACCAGCACCAATTCCTGTGGCCCCTTCAAGATTTCACGGGGAGAAGATGTGTTCTCACTGTACATCTTCGCAACCTTCACACACTTTCTCTCTTCCCAAAGTAAGGAGAGAACACGAGCCTTTTTCCCCGAAAAGGAAGCGCTTTATGTAAGGTGACCAGACGTCCCGACTTTTAACAATTTGTCCCGCGACGTTTTAAAAAAGTCCCGATTTTTTCTCCCCCAAATCAGGACCTTTTTAAAACTCCGCGGGACAAATTGTTAAAAATCGGGACTGTCCCGCCAAAAGCGGGATGCCTGGTCACCTTAACTTTGTGGTTTCTGTTGGTTCTATGAATTGCCGGCACCACCACTCTGGTGTTGGGGGGCATGACTAAGTAGAATAAGGGGGACTCAGCACCAGCACCGCAGGCCGAGGTGGCCAGGTGACCAAGAGGCGGGGGGAGGGGGGGTGGACGGCGCGGAGACTGTCAGGAGGAGGATTCACCTCCAGGCAGGAGGGAGCAGGGCGGCACGAGGGTTCCTCTCGCCACTCAGGATGGCGCGCAATTTAAAACCCACAGACCGTTTTGTTTTGGAATCCTCCGTTTAATGTCCTGGGCCCTCGGTCACCAGAAAGGGAGCTGCGGATGAGGGGGAACCATGTGAAAACGAAGTGCACCGAATGCTGCAGCGCCGGCTTTTCCACGTTTGTAAGTTTTCATCTTGTGGACGAAGCGCGGAGAGAGGAGACTCCTGTGTGACAGCCAAGACATGCCCGCGTGTGTGCAGGATGATTGCAGTGAGGCAGGAAGTCCACCACGTGGCCTGGTGCTGCTGGATGAGGCCCTTTTTTCTGTAGACTCCATCCCGGCTTGCTGTCTCAGACTTCCCAAAGTGGCCACAGAATGCATGCCTTGATTTTTAAAATTAAAAACATCTGCTCGAAGCAAACACAGCCTCCCCCACCCCTCCAGCAGGTGCTGCAATAAAGACCAAATGAAGGCATCTTCCAAGGCTCCTTAGAAAGCTGTGCCGAGGACAGAGGGCCAGAGACTCGAGGCCCTGGGGGGGAGGGGGTTCCTCTTGGGGGCTGGGGCGAGACTCACCGCCTCCTTGCCCACCCCTCCCCTGGCCTCTGCTGCTGGTTCGTCCCTAGTTAACTCCCCTTCTGTTATTTGCTGGGTGACAATGATGGCAAGTCTTCTCCTTCTCTGGGTCTCAGTTTCCTCATCTGTAAAATGGGCTTGGGGGGGGGGCATGGAGGAGGGAATGAGGTTTCGCCAAGGTTCCAGTCCTTCTCCTCTGAGGGTCACGGGCCAAAGAGAACTTTGTGTCCGGCCCCCCATTTTTCTGAAAAGGAAACTGAGACTGGAGAGGAAGCGGCATATCAGCCAGAGGTTCAGCCAGGACTCGGTGGGGGCAGAGCTTTGCATGTCTAGGCCCCAGAGGTGTTTCAACCACTTGTTTCCCCTCCAGGCGGCTGGGGCTCCGGTGGAAAGGGGGCTGGGGGGTGGGGCGGCCTGAAGCAGCTCAGAAGGAGGAGCGTGCATGACAGGCCATGGAGGGCCTGCCCCTCACCCTCGTGCCTACTGTGCCACCTGACCCCCCCCTCCCCATCCCCCCACCCCGGCCACCTGGCCCCTTGGAGGGAGGGCATCTGAGCTGTGGGGGGAGGGAGCGGCTAGGAGAGACTTAGACGTGAGTGTCCAGGGAAACTGGCTGCTGCTGGGCTCTGAGCTGGGAGAGGATGGGGATCTGCCGGGCAGTTCTGATGCCCAGTCGGGAAGAGGGGAGCCCGCAGCATCAGTACACGGGACAGCGGTGGCCAAGGCCCCACAGGGGACAAAACGGTCCCCAGACCCCATCTCCCAACTCCCAGTGCAGTGCTCCTTCCGACGCTGAGCTGTAAGCAGGTCCAAGGCCGCCTCCCAGGTGGAGTCCCGGTCAGGAGGGCTGAGCCCAGGCAGGAGGCTGGCAAGACAGGCTGAGGGAGCACCCGGCACCTCGGTCAGAGGAGCAGGCCCACCGGGAAGTGGGTGGGCCCAGGGGCTGGCACACACAGGCCCGGTGGCCCCACGCTGGGCCTAGGACTTGGGGAGGGCAGGCCACAGGCCGGTGACGAAGCCTCCTGCAGGCCTGGGCCCGGCCCGGCTCAGTGAGCTCTGCCGGCACCTCCAGTGAGCGGGAAGCCAGCCCCGGAGGGGGAGGCGGCGCCACGGGGAGCCAGGGCCTTGGAAGCCGGCCCCGGAGTGGCAATGCCCAGGGCGACGGGCCCCGGGCGTCAGCACAATCCAGGCTGTTCCGTCGAGTCACCTTGTGTTAAATCCCAAAGGAGCCCCTCCTCGGGCGTGTGGCAGCCACGTGCGGGGTTAGAAGCGGGCAGCCTGAGAGTGAGAGCTAGAGACCTTCCCAACCAGCTCCGAGGTTCGCGTCCCCCAGGGGGCCCTTCTCCCGGACGCACCCTGCGTGGCGGGCTTCCCGCTCAGAGTGGCTCCTGTCACAGTGCCGGCTCCTCAGCCACAGCCTGCGCGTCCGTCCACACGGTGCCCGCGAAGCCAGTGTCTGCGGCCTGCAGGCTCGGCCCCGAGCGGCCCGGTTCCAGGAAGGGGCAGGTGGACGCGGGGCGAAGAGCCGGATCCGACCTCCCGCCCGGGGCCCTCCTGCCCCGCCCATGGCTACTGCTGCTCAGGGCCGGCCGTCTTCGTGGTCACCAGCTCGGTGGAGCCCAGCTCCGTGGCGGGCACGGGGACGCTGTGGGCAGGGGGCATGGTGGCTGGGTCTTCCCCGGGGGCAGGCCAGACGGGCCCGGTGGCGTCCAGGGGTCCGGAAGAGAGGACGATGACGGTGTCCAGGGGCGCTGAGGGGGAGGGGGCGCAGGGTCAGGAATGGCCCAGCCTCCCCAGCCTGTGGGGGGCTCCCTGAGGCCAGCCCTCCCACAGGGAAGTGCTGGAGGCTCCCTGGAGTGACGTGAGGGCCCGCAGGACAGGAAGTGCCGAGAGGGCAGCCAAGTGGGGGTGCCGACAGGAGAGAGGAAGTGTGGCAGCCAGTGTGCCCACCCGGAGAGACCGGGCCAGACCCTTACACTGGGCTCCCCGCCGGGACCCCTCACCTGGGGCTGGCAGCCACAGCGGTCCCCCCCAATCTCCCCCTTCCCCCCACGCCCCTGCTGGGCCTGAGACCCTCCAAGCAGCTTCCCCCCTTTTGTCCCCCCCCCAGAGCCCTCCCCACCCGCCCCCTCGGGCTGGGCAGCGCCCCCGGGCCTCACGCAGAACCTACCGTCGTCCAGCGCGGAGTCCGGGGCCTCGGGGCGCGCGGGCCGCCGCAGCCGCCGCCAGCCCAGCGCGGCCGCCAGCACCAGGGCCAGCGCCAGGCCCAGCAGCGCGGGGGCGCCCAGCAGCAGCGCCCCCGGCCCGGCGCCCGCCTCCCGCGACCGCACCGCCGTCCCCGCCGCCGCGCTGCTCGGCTCGGCCGCTAGAGGGGGGAGCGGGGAGCGGGGCAGCAGGCGGGGGTCGGGGGGCGAGGCTGGACGGGGGGGTGGGAAGGAGGGGAGGGAGGGGAGGGGGGCACGGAGAGGGGGAGAGGGGCACACGGAGAGGGGGATAGGGGGGCACGGAGAGGGGGAGAGGGGCGCACGGAGAGGGGGAGAGGGGGGCACGGAGAGGGGGAGAGGGGCGCACGGAGAGGGGGAGAGGGGCGCACGGAGAGGGGGAGAGGGGCGCACGGAGAAGGGGAGAGGGGGGCACGGAGAGGGGGGCACGGAGAAGGGGGAGAGGGGCGCACGGAGAGGGGGATAGGGGGGCACGGAGAGGGGGAGAGGGGCGCACAGAGAGGGGTGGCGGGGCGCACAGAGAGGGGAAAGGACGGTAAGGGCCACGCGGGCCGCTGGTCCCCACCCAGGCCCGGCCCACGACCCCCAATTCGCCCCCCTCCGTCCTGGGACGCGGGGTGCTGTGCCAGGGCTCTGGCAGGGTGACCCCTCTCCCCGCTCCCTCCCCCTCTGCCCCTCCCCGGTCCCCCAGGCCCCGCCAGCAGCCGTCGCGCCTACCCGGGGGCTCCAGCGTGCGGAGGAGGCTGCAGGCCACGCACACGCGCACCAGCGGGTCGAAGCACTGGGGCTGCGGGCACTGCGAGGGCGGCCCGCTGCGGCCCCGCCGGCCCCGCGCCCCCATGCTGCCCCGCCGGCGCCCGGCTGGCTCTGAGGCGGCGCCCGGAGGAAACGGGGGGGGGGGGGGGGGAAGGGGGACCCAATCCCCGCCCGCCCCGCCCTCCCGCCGCTGGGTGGGACCTCTCCCAGCCGGGCCCTGCACCCCAGGCCCTGCTGCCTGCGGTTCCTCCATCCAAGCACCCAACCATCACCCGTGGGTGCCCGCTGGCGGGGCCAGGGCCCAGGGACCGGGCTGGGCAGCGGAGGGAGGCCTGCAGCCAGGACAGACTCTGGGCGGCCCCCTCTGTCCTGCTCCCAAGCTGGTGGCCACAGGCAACCTCCTGCAGCCGCTCTCCCACCCCTCCTCCTCCGGGGAGCCCTCCTGCCTTTCCCCGCAGAGCTGCCCAGGTCATCAGTCCCACCGGGGCCACCCTGGCTGTGCCCCCAGGGGACGCCCGCACTGCCCGCCCGCCTGCTGCAGCGCTGCTGTTTCACCAGGCCCCTGGGTCTGCCTCCCTTTCCCAGTGTTTGGGCTCCCCACCCGACTCTCACCCCTCACTCTCACACGGTCTCACGCACACGCACACACACGCACACACGCACACATGCACTCCCCCTCACCCTTCACTTGGGCTGCCCCTCCCCGGGGCAGAGACAGCGTGGAGCTCACTTAGTGCCTCGTGGTGGGCACACCGGCCCCTCAGCACCCAGGGCTGGAGACACACAGGAGGGAGGGCCTGCCAGGCGCCGGGAGCCAGCTTGGGCAGGAGTGGCTCTCTGGCAGGTAAGGGGGCCGAGGACCTTCCAGGCAGAGAGACTAGTGGGGGCAAAGGCCTGGAGGGTGCAGGGGGCGCTCTTGGGGGACAGGCCTGGCCCCTGCCTCAGGCAGTGCCGGGGGGGGGGGGGGAGGGAAGGGGCCTGAGGCTGTGGCCACAGGCGCCCAGGCAGGAGCCCAGGAGTGTCCTGCTGGAGGGACAGGCCCCCTGCGCCGTGCTTAGCAGGAACTGTGTCTCTGGCCTCCGTGGAGCTGGAGATGGCAGTGAGGAGGCTGGCACGGGGGCCCGGGGCGGGGAGGAAGGAATGACGCTGTGGAGCAGGGGAACCAGACTGGCCCCGGATCTGGCTGGGGGCCTCTGGGACTCACACAGAACCCCAGGGGCCAGCCTGAGAAGCCCTGGTCGGCTGCCTCCCCGCCCTGCCCACGGGCCAGCGCCTCCGGGCAGGAAGGTGTAGGTGGTGGAGCAGCTGCGAAGGAGAAGTGGGTGTGGGTGGGGGTGTGGGTGTGGGTGTGGGGGTGTGATGAGGGGGTGGAGGAGCCAGGAGCCTGCACGGGAACCAGGCAGGGAAGGCCCTCCTATAGGGCAGAGGAGTGGGAGTGAGGGGAGAAGACTGGCCCCCCGGAACCCCCATCCGCGCTGGTGTTAGCACCCGTCACTCTCAGGCCTGCAGAGCCCTCACTGAACCCCATACCAGACCCTGGGGCAGGCGGAGGCCGATCCGGGGAGAGGTGGGCCGGTCTGAGGTCACTCGTATGAGCCTCCTCTGACCCCCGGCAGAGAGCAGAGGAGGGGGTGCCCTGGGGCCCCCAGCCTGAGCGGGGGTTGGCCTGGGCAGCCCCGAGGGGGACGCAGGGGCTCCTATAGGGCACCGATGTCTTCTGGGGCCTCCATTGCCCACACTGGGCAGGTGCCAGGGCAAAGCGGGCAGCTGGGAAGGCCTGTGGGGTTCGTGCCAGCGGTGTGTGCCGTGCCTGGCCCCCCACAGCCCTTCTCACTGTGTCTCCTAAACGGGGGCCTCCCAGCTCTGCTCGGACGCTTCGCAGTTAAGGGAAATGTCACCCTCAGACCAAGGTGGGGAACGGAGGTCGCCTCTCCACGGAGCCTTTCCTTCTTCGCACAATGTTTGCTCAGTGCTTCCCTCCCGCCTTCAGCACCACCACTGATGGCTGAGAGGGAGGAGCTAAAGTTTCTAAAATCGATGTGGTTCTTGCAAATTTTCCTCGTTCTTTTAATAGTTCTGACTCTAAATGACTCGTTCTTGGGAAGACAATCGGGGACCTGGTTCTGAGAAGCCCTTCATACCGGATCTGTGTTGTCGTTTTCTCGGGTTTTCGTTCACCGATAAAGTGTTTTTGGACAAACTTTTTAAAAGGATGCTTCATTTGGGGTCTGTCCGGGAGAGGGGCATCTCCCTGGTCCTTGTCCCCAAATTCCCCGCAGAGCGCCTTCCCAGCGCCGCTGCCCCTGGCCTGGCACAGCCGTCTTTTCAGATGGAACCGGGGCTCCGAGGGGCAGGGGTGACCCAGCACAGCCAGAGGATCCAGCGGGGTCTGTGCTCAGCGGGGCCTGCCCTTCACGCCTCGGGGACGGGGTGGGGAAGTGGGAAGCTCAGGGGCTGCCGGACAAGCCCGGTGCTGTGGGGGGGCAGTCCCTCAGGGCAGAGAGGCCCAGCCCCCAGATCTGGATATGAAAGTGCCGAGGCCCGGATACACCGTGTACTTGGCTAAAAATACGTTTGTGTGTGATTCTGTGAGTAATACCTGAACACATTCTCATGGAAAAAACCCCAAACAGCCTGGAGCCTGAGTAAGAAAGGGCATTCCCCTGTGGGGGACCCTCCCCGCCTGCCCTGTGGGAGTCTCTCCTCACACGGAGGTCTGCCATCCCGGCCTGGGGTGTGCGGGGAAACTCCGGGCCCTGCAGGCTCTGGCCCTGGGTGGGGGGTGGGGGGTGCGGGGTGCAGGGCGGGCTCCCCATACAGACACCGCCTCTCATTTCCCAAATCCTCACCCACACCGGCTCACTCAGGCGCCGTTCCAGGCTCTGGGACAGAGCAGGCAGCCAGAGACCAAACCCAGACAGCGCCGCCATTGAGCCTGGGAGGGGAACCTGGGAGAAAGTTCCGGAGGGAAGGGGGCCAGGGGGGCAGCGAGTCAGGGAAGGCCTGGCAGACCTTGGGACAGGGGACAGAAATGAGGGGAGCCCTGAGAGCACCAGGGAAGGAGCAGCGAGGCCGGCCACACCGGTCATGGGAGAATGGACCCGCCCAGCCCTGTGCCTCACCCCTGTGGGGAGGTGGCATCGATTCGACTTTATTTATTTTAAAACAAACATATATATATATATAATTTTTTAAAAATATATTTTTCTTATTGATTTTTCACAGAGAGGAAGGGAGAGGGATAGAGCGTTAGGAACATTGATCTGCTGCTTCCTGCACATTCCCTACTGGGGATGTGCCCGCAACCAAGGTACATGCCCTTGACCGGAATCGAACCTGGGACCCTTGACATTCTATCCACTGAGCCAAACTAGTCAGGGCAGATTCTACTTTACAAAGAGGAAAGCAAGCTCAGAAGGACAGGGATGAGCCAGGCAGCCCCTCACCCGACAGATACACGTCTGGGGGCCATGCTCTCTCAACAGAGGATGGCCTGGCGGGGCCTGTGGCCGAGCATAGTAGAAAGGAACCAAGTGCTGGGCACCCAACCCTCCGGCCTTGGCTTTGCAGGGTCATCATCAGTCAAACCAGGAAAGTACCAGATGTTCCCGACCTCCCCCCCCCCAAAGTGTTTTGGTTTAGTCCCAAGGAAGGCTGCCTCCCACCCAAGTCAGGGGCACTGGGGACTGTCCCCCCACTGTCCCTCCCAGAGCTGGTCCTCAGAGATCCCCAGTCCATAGGGTCACACTCAGGAGGGACTTAGATTTGGGGGGTGCAGCCCCCCCCCCCCCCCCCCGGGTCTGCAAGTGTCTGAATGAAGTCCTTTCACAATGACTCACTGCAGCCGGCTAGGCCCTGGGGAGCTGCGGGAAGGGGGTGACGCTGGCGGGCACTGTGGAGAGGGTCCCTTTGTATCGGGGTCCTGCCAGGTGGGCCTGGCCCAGCACAGCTGTGGGGTGGGGCACCCCACGGTGGAGCTTCAGCTCTGAGCTCCCCACTCCCCTCACCTACCTCAGACCCTCCGGTCACTGTCTGCGGACAGACATGGGACAGCGCCGGGGGGAGGGGGGGGTCAGCCTCAGGCTTTCTGAGCCCCACAGAGGCTCTGGGGTTCAGGGACGGGAAGTGGCTGCACCAGGTGACACTGCAGGTCGGCCAGGCCTTTCCCACTGATCACTTCCCCTCCACAGCCCAGGCTGCGCCATGCTGAGCCCCCTCCTCACCAGGAGGCCCTGCCGCCTAAGCGGCCAGGACCCTTGGGCCTGGCCATCCTAGCAGACCTGAGTCCCGGGGCAGGCCTGCGGGGTGGGGGTGGGGGGGCGCAGAGAGAGCTGCCCACAGCCAGGTGGCCTGGGGACAACAGACCCTGTGACCCCCGGAGGGCCCTGGCTGTGGGAAGGGGGACGAGGTGGCTGCTGGGTCCCAGCCACAGGCCCGCAGGTGCTGGCAGCTGGGACAGCGTCGTGTATCATCGCTCCCCTTCCACCCCCCCACCCCCGCCTGACACTTGGCCTGACACTTGGACGGCTTCCAGGTCCTCGGCTGAGGTGCCACTTCTCTCGTTCAAGGGCACCTGGTGGCAAAGAAAACATGGCACAGGACTGGAGAGAGGTGCCCGCGCTGGCTGGGGAGGGAGGGAGGACGGGACGCTCCCCTGGTCTCCAGCAGAAAGGGACGCCCAGGGCAGGCTGGGCGCGGGCTGCTTCCCTGCTCACCCTCTCCCCTCGAAGGCTCCTGTGCCGGGTGCCCCCCGTCCTGTCCTGAGGGGCAGAGCCCCACAGGGGAGGGGAGTGACTGTAGACTATCCCGCATCCCCCACCCCCACCCCCCAGGGCCACTTTCCCAGGCAAGGCCATAGGCCCACGTCTCGCTCTGGGTCCCAGTCAAGGGCCTGCCCAAGCCTTTGCTCACCAGCTGGCCAAGTAAGAGAGCAACTAGAGCCGGCCGGTGTGGCTCAGTAGCCCGGCTTCGACCTGTGAACCAGGGGGTCACGGTTCAATTCCCGGTCAGGGCACATGCGGGTTGGGGGCTCGGCCCCCAGCGTGGGGTGTGTGGGAGGCACCTGATGGAGAGGATTCCCTCGTCATTGATGTTCCTCTCTCCCTCTCTCTCTGAGATCAATACAAACATTTAAAACCAACGAGAAAACCGTGGGGAAAGCCGAGGGCTGGCCAGACGTGGGCTCCGCAGCCGAGCGGCTCTGAGGCCGGGACACACCGCCCATCAGTCTCGGTTTCACTCGCTGTGAAATGGGGAAGCAGCCGGCTCGCAGGCTGCGGGGGAGACGGGTGGCTGAGAAGGCTCCGCAGAGCGTGACTCGCTCCGAGGCCGGGGACATCGGGCCTCAGCGGAAACCCCGGGGCTGAGGCTCGCGGGCAGGAGCTGCCTGAGCCAGGCAGGCGTCTGCCACCGGAGCGAGGGGTGGGCGCGGGCTGGCTCTGGTTCTGGCAGAGCGCCACGGCGAGGGACAGCGGGCCCCACCCTCAGGACGGTTTCAAGTTGGCCCCTCCAATGGGGTGATGCTGAGCCAGAGCTGACCCCTGCGGTGCCGGCACTGCCCAGGGCATCCAGCAGGATCCCTCCAGATGCCCGAGGATGGAGGGCGGGTCCGGGCGCAGGAGGTGGGTGTGGAGGTCTGGCCGGCTCCCGGGAGCCATGACCGGCTCTTCCTGCAGACCTCCCACCCGCCCCAGCCCCACTGGCTCACAGGGGCCCTGACTCCAGCCCTGGCACTCCCCCACGTTCTGCTCAGGCCCCAGGGAGAAGGCAGGCAGTGGTCGTGCCCAGCCCCTCGCTGCCAACCCAGAAACCAGCTCCCCTCACGCCCCTCGCACACCGGGAATCCCATGTGCCATCTGGGTTTCACCAGGGTTTGACCTCGGCTGTGTGAATCCAAACAACAGTCACCATTCGCCAGTGCTTCCCTGGGCCCGCAAGGCGCTAACAGTTTATTATCCGCACGTGAGCAAGCGCAGGGCACACCAACTCGGCCCTTCGCCGCTGTCATTTCATTCGGTCCCCACAGCACCACAAGGGAGAACAAGCTCGTCTCACCCGGGGAAACTGAGGCTCCGAGGGGCAACAAGCAGGCTCTCCAAGAATGCAAGGCCCGGATGTGGAGTCAGACTGGGCTCCTGGAGGCCAGGGTCCCCGCCCCCACCCTACGTGTCACTGTTCTGAGTCCGTTCATCTGCAAAGTCAAAGCGGTGGATGAGAGCAATGCGTTTCTAACTGCTTTTGGTCACAGACTCTTTGTTCGAATGGAGTCCACCGTGGAAATGGGCCGTGTCCGATGGATACAGGCTCCGCTGGAGAGAGCGTGGGAGTGGGCGGCGGGCTGCTCCGCCTTGGGGCTCCCAGCCTCCTGTGGGAGCACAGAGCTCGGTCCCCGCCCTCACAGGTCCTCCAGGCAGGGGTTCTCCGAGCTCCTCAGCAGGGACAGCAGGCTCAGGGCCGAGACGCCGGGCACGTGGCCCGCGCAGACCTGCAGCATGCGGACCAGGCGCTGTGCCATGGAGACCCGGAAGCCTTCCACCTGCGGGGAGAGCGGGGGCAGGTCTGAGTGGCCACACAGGCCTCCCGAGGGGCTGGGCTGGGGATGGGGGACAGCGCAGGGCACCACCGCCCAGCAAGGCCATGACCCTGTCTGTGGTTATGACCCTGTCCGCGGCCAGGACCCTGTTCAAGGCCAGGACCCTGTCCACGGCCATGACCCTGTTCATGGCCAGGACCCCATCCGCGGCCAGGACCCTGTCTGCGGCCATGATCCTGTCCACGGCCAGGACCCTGTCCATGGCCAGGACCCTGTCCACGGCCAGGACCCTGTTCATGGCACACCTCTCCACGCAGCGTCCGCCATCTCAGCTCACGAGTCCCTCCAGCGCCCCCAGGGAAGCCCTTTTCTACGTGGACGGCGTGTCACCGCTCACTGCATCTGAGAGGAGGGCAGTGCCTGGCTCCCTGTGCTCTCAGGGAGCAGCACGGGGCCCTGTGGCAGGGCTAGAACATCTCTTCACCGGGCACCCCACACCCTGCCGAGCGGGTTTCCTCATGTGTAAAATGGGGTGATAGTTCTTGCCACACAAAGACTCAAACGATGGCAAGGCCCAAACGCAGTCAGGCAGAGGTGTGTGCCCTGAGAGACCGCACGGGCAGGGGGTGAAGACCGCCCGCACGGGGCTCCCCAGGGAAGCCAGGTCTGTCCTCTCAGTGCTCAGGCGCAGGGTGGCGCAGGGCTGGCGTGGCCTGCCACCTACTGGCCACACACAGAATGGCACCACCCGCCGTAAGATCAGCACCCACGTGCACCTGCCAACAGTCACAGATTCTGTAAAACTAATGACGGCTCTGGCCTACACCCAGGATGCTCAGTTTCACGGAGAGGTTAGTAAAGCGAAAGTTCACAGTCCCCTGAATTCTACTCTCAGGTCAGAGGGGTCCCCAGGCTCCAGAACCCCTGATCCCCAATACTCGGGATCCCTGAAGCAGCCCCCAGAGCGCTGACTGCCCGTCCCCCGCGCCCGGACGCCCTCACCTCCAGGTCACAGAAGAGCAGGGGGCTCCGGTAGGCTCGGGCCAGCTTCAGCACGGTGCTCCGGTGCACGCTGCAGTGGCTGTCCCGCCCCGCTGCGAAGAAGCAGAGAGTGCCATGCTGTGAGCGCCCCCTGCCGGCGGCCACTGAGGGACCCTGGGCAAAGCAGCCCTCTTCAGGACACACACACACACACACACACACACTCCTGGCACCTTCTCTTCAGGGCTCTGAGATCAGGTTAGCAGACAAGGCGGAAAGGGCTCTGAAAACATGGCTTCTCATCTATAAAGTGAGGATGGCAGCAGCCCCACTGAGTTACTATGGAGACTCGGTGAACTGACATATAAGTGACCTAGCACTCATTTATTCACCAATGCTTTTTATTTTCATTAAAAAAAATTTTTTTTATTGAGATTTTTAGAGGGGGAGAGAGAAACGTTGATGTGAAAGCAAAATATCCATTGGCTACTCCCTACTGAGGATTGAGCCCACGTGTGCCCCAATCTGGAATGGAACCTGGTGCACAGGATGACACCCAACCCACTGAGCCACACTGGCCAGGGCTACCAATGCTTTTGAAGATAAACTGTGCCAGGCCTTCCCCAGTTCAGCACAGACACACCATCCATGCGGGATGGGTGCCCGCAGGGACCAGATTGCAGGGCTGGTCGGGGAAGCCTTCCCCAGGACGCGGAAAAGAGGTGTCAGCTAGACGGACAGGAAGAGGACCTGAGAGAAGCGCATGGCTCAGGAATAGGACTCTCTAGGTATGGACCTCAGCTCTCCCACTGCCTAGCTCTGGGGCCTGGGCAGGTTCCGCACCTCCTGACCAGGCTCCTCAGCTTCAACGAGAGCGAATACCCATCTCGAGGGCTGCTTGTGAGGATGACACAGAAGCACGCGCTCAGAGCGGGGTCTGGGCAGTGAGTGCTCAGGGGAGGGTAGCGGGCACTGTCTCCACTGCTGGGAACAGCCCGGAGTCAGCAGGACTCGCTAGAGCCACAGGCGGAACCAGAGCGGGAGTGTCAGAGGTGAGGCGGCGGGAAGGCAGAGGCCATGGGAGTCTGGGTTTTACTCTAAAACCGCTCGGCCATCCACGCAGGGATCTCAGCGGAACCGCCCCGGAATGGCCTGCCCGCTGTGCTCTTAGAAAGAACGACGGCCGGTCAGACTCCGAGGCCGCTCCTCCCATTGGCCCGGCCTCAGCAAGGAGGCCCCGGCACAGGGCCTGGGCGGGCGGGGTCACTTACCGCCCGTGACCAGGAAGCCCACCTTCCCCAGGAAGAAGGTGGCGTCCACGTGGCGCAGGGACTCCTCCACGTTCTGCAGGCTGGGAGGCCAGGCCGGGGCGAGAAAACAGACCTTACCACAGAGAAGGCAGTCTCTCCCCCTCCCCCACATCCAGAGGCCGGAGAAAACCTCTGCCCAGAGCATTGGAGTCCTTTGTCCTTTCACTGTGTCAAACTGCTTTTAATTACACCTCCGTCTGTGCCCCCAGGAGGGAGAGGGCGGACATCCTCTGCTCCACAGGCTGCCTCCATCCTGTCCCCAGGCTGCCAGCACCACAGGAGGCCGGGCCGGGCCACTCCTGCTGCCACGGCCACGGCCCCACACCAGCCTGGGCTCCTGACGGCCCACAGGCCTTACTGGTCTTTCTTCTAAACACACTCTCCTTTTTACACGAGCTCCTCGCCTGGAACATGGAGCTCACTCCACCTTTACCTGCTAAGTCCGCCTCATCTGTCAGGTGTCGCCTCCACCAGAAAGCCCACCCTGACTAAGTCCTGAGCGGCAGAGGTCTGTGTGGGCCCTCACCCGTGTGCGGAAGCCCTGCCTCCTGCAATGGGCTAGGAGCACACTGAGGCCAGGGGGAACAGAGTGACCCTCAGGGCGCATTAGTTAAATGACAGGGGACCCTGCCAGGATTCATCAGTGTCTCCAAACATCTCGTACTGGCCACCGCTCCCCCTCCTCCCTCCCTCCTCTCCTTCCCATCACAAGTGACGACACTGCCCCAGCACACCCCTAAGCCAGGGCCACCCGAGCCCCGACAGCCCCACCGAGCCCCGATAGCCCCACCGCCCGGCTCTCACCTGTATTTGCTGTGAAGGTTGATCACAAACACAATCAGGTCAATCCGGGGGCGATTCACATCGGAGGGCAAAGGGAGGGAATGCGCCAAGTGGCTGAAAAACAAGAAAGGTCAGGCCCAAAGACACAGGCACCGACATTTCACGTGCTATCAGAGGTTCCTGACCTCTTCACCTGATGTCCTTCTGGGCAAGGCTCCTCAGGGGAGCGGAGGGGCAGGGCGGGGCTGCTCCACCCACATTACCTTCTCCTGACGCCTCTGGCAGAAGGGCGTTCTGTTGGTAGCCGCCTTGGTAAGAGGGAGCTTTGGATAGAAGATGGCCTGGGGCTAGCCAGCTGCACTGCATGCTGGGAGGGAGGCCAGGCTCAGAGGTGGGTGCTGAACTGTGAAGATTAGGGGCTAAGACTGAACTCCTTTGGAGGGTGACAGAAGGGGGTTCAAATCTCAGTTCGGCAAATTACTAGCTGTGTGCCCTTGGACAAATCACCTCATCATTCTCCTGGACTTGGGCCCTGGTTGTCAGATACCCTCCTGAAGGTTTTTATTGAACCTTCTATTTCTGCCCATTTCCATGTATTCCTACCACCCAGCTCCTCCCATCCCCCACCTTATAATTCAGGAAACATCAAAAAGGACAGCCCAGCCGGTCTGGCTCAGTGGTTGACCGTGGTCACCTGAACCAGGAAGTCACAGTTCAATTTCTGGTAAAGGGCACACACCTGGGTTCCGGCTTGATCCCAGTAGGGGGCATGTAGGAGGCAGCCAATCGAGGGTTCTTTCTCATCATTGATATTTCTCTCTCCCTCTCCTTTCCTCTCTGAAATCAATAAAAATATATTTAAAAAACAAAAAAAAACACCACACACTCCTAAAAGTCCAGTTACCCAGAAATTACTATTAACTAACATTAGAGCATTTTTCTAAACATATCTTCATGTACACAACATACTATACACTTTCAGACACTAGAATAGATATAATCTAAAAATAGGCCCTGATCAGTTTGGCTCAGTGGATAGAGCGTCGGCCTGCGGACTCAAGGGTCCCAGGTTCGATGCCGATCAAGGGCATGTACTTTGGTTGCAGGCACATCCCCAATGTGCAGGAGGCAGCTGGTCAATGTTTCTCTCTCATCGATGTTTCTGGCTCTCTGTCCCTCTCCTTTCCTCTCTGTAAAAATCAATTTTATATATATATATATATATATATATGTTTTTTTGTGTGTTTTTTTTTAAGACACTGGGGCCAAACCGGTTTGGCTCAGTGGATAGAGTGTCAGTCAGCCTGTGGACTGAAAGGTCCCGGGTTCGATTCCAGTCAAGGGCATGTACCTTGGTTGCGGGCACATCCCTAGTAGGGGGTGTGCAAGAGGCAGCTGATCGATGATTCTCATCAATAATTCTAACTCTCTATCCCTCTGCCTTCCTCTCTATAAAAAAATCAATAGAACATATATATTTTTAAAAAGACACTGGGGAATCACCAGTGAACAAAAGTCAAAGTCCCTGCCCTCAAGGGACTGGCCTTGGGGGCCATGCCTGGTAGACTGGAAACAAGTAAACGAAGCAGGGAAGGGTACCTTAGCCAGGGCTCTACCAGGTGCGGGCGGGTCAGCGAGGATGGTTGGGGGGCTGGCCACCCCGCTCCCCCTGGGCCGCCCGCCTCTCGGCGGCTCCTCGGCTCTCCTTCCCGCCCAGCCAGCGTTCAGACCACAGCCGAGCGATCGGACGCCCCAGCCTCCGCTACTTACACCTTCAGCGAGGAGGCGCAGTCCTCCCTGAGCATCGAGTCGGCCAGCCGCTGCAGAAGAGCATCCTCCTTGCCCACCAGCTGCCCGGAGAGAGAAGGGGGCGATGTCCCTCTGAGGACATGGGATCCGGGCTCCGCCCCACGGCGGCCACGACCCCCAGGATGCGGGCTCCTGCGCACAGGGCGCCATTTACCGAGAGAAGACTCCGCCAGGCACCGACCGAGCGCCTGAGGCCTACACCCTCTCCGGTCTCCCCGCTCGGCACTTGCTACTTTGCGGACCCTCCGCTGACAGCCCGGCCACTCCGGGAGGCCGGACTCAGACTCATCCCCGGCTTGGAACTCAGCCTCCGGCCAGAAACCAATCAGAAACCAGAAAAAAAAACCCGCCGTGCGCCTATTGGCTGGGGCGTCCTTCGGCCTCAGAGAGCAGCTATTCTGATTGGGGCAGAATATGGCTATCCCGCCCACCACCTCTTCCGGAACAGCGCGCGCAGGCCCCCCGAAGAGCGCGGAGAACGGGCCGCTGAGGCACAGCCAGGGAGGGGAGGGGAGGGGAGAGGAGGCCCCGGGGGAAGCGGGCGGCTGGCGCCTACCAGGATGGTGGCCGCGTTCAGGCCAGGCAGCTGGTCCTGCGGCCGCAACACCGACATCCCAGCCGCTGGCTGAGCCGCCGCTCCGCGCGTCACTTTCAAACCCCGCTGTGGCCCCGCCCTAGTGCTCCCGGGCGCACGTGACCCTCCCTGGGCGGGGTTTTCCGTCGCGACGCCCCTTAAAGGAACCGCACCCTCTTTTTCGGAGACGGAGCTCCAGACTCTGAAGGTGCTGTCCATGGTGCAGGCCTTCTGTTTCACGCCTCGGAGAAAGAAGGTGTGCAGTGATGCGGCCCGTTCATTTATGCGCAGTCACCGACCTGGCAGCTGCTCAGAACAAAACCGTGGAGTTGTTCTGACTCTTCTTCGCCCCAATCCACAACCAGTCCTTAATTGAGCAAGCCCCTGGATTCTCATTTTAAAATGGATCCAGAAGTTGACCACTTCTCATCGCCTGGCCTACTACCTCTGCTACCACCAGGCAAGCCACGGCCTTTGCCTACTGGGACTGTTTTAACAGCCTTCTCACTGGCTCCCGTTTGCAGCCTGGGGCCCTGCTCTCCACACAGCAATCAGAGTCAACGTTTACCGCAGAAATTAGAATAGGCCACATCTCTCATCAAAACCCACCAGGACTGCCCATCTCACGGTACATGGCACTCACCGTCACAGGCTTGGAGGCTCCGCGTGTTCTGGCCCAGCCTCATCTGCTGCTCATCTCCCTGACCTGTCTTCAGCTCCTCTCTGTCACAGGGACCATCAGGCTGTTTCTCAAATGCTCAGAGTGTCCTCTTACCTCAGGACCTGTGCCCTTGTGTCCCCTCTGGCTGAAATGCTCTTCTCTCAGGCAGTCACATTGCTTGTGTCCTCACTTATTCATGTTTCCGATGCAGTGTCACCTTATCAGCGGGGTCTTTTTTTTTTTTTAATGTATTTTTATTGATTTTTTACAGAGAGGAAGGGAGAGAGATAGAGAGCTAGAAACGCCGATGAGAGAGAAACATTGACCAGCTGCCTCTTGCACACCCCCTACCGGGGATGTGCCCGCAACCAACGTACATGTCCTTGACCGGAATCAAACCTGGGACCTTTCAGTCCACAGACCGACGCTCTACCGCTGAGCCAAATCGGTTTCGGCTAGCGGTGTCTTTCTTAATTACCACTCGCTAATAGCGAGTCCCACGCCCTGGCCCGGTTGCCGGGTTGGTTAGAGCATCTTCTGAATAAGCCAAGGTTGTGGGTTCGATCCCCAGTCAGGGCACATACAAGAGTCAACCAGTGAAGGCATAAATAAGCGGAACAACAAACTTCTCACTCGCTCACTCTCTTTTCCTTTCTCTAAAATCAATTTTGACTAAATAAAATAGCAAGCAAGCCCCTCCATACGCCCTGTCTACCCTTTTCTGCTCTCTTTTCTCAATAGCTCTAATCCCCACTTAATACATCATCAAAAACTGTGCAGCCTCAGATTTTACCGTACTTACAAACTAATAAACCGCTCACTGAGCTTTGGTCATGGCCTTACGACCCCATGGATGTTGGCAGAAGCCAGAGGGCTCCTTAAGAGACAAAGGACTGTTTTACTCGGTAGAAGCAATAGCCAGGGCTTTGTGCTTGTGTCAGTTCCCACATTCTGCAGCCCCACAAGGACCCGTCATGGGTGACATCACAGGACCTGAGGGCCGCTGCTTTTACAGTGAGTGGAAGGCCTGCTCTTTCCCCCCGGAGGGTGTGTGTGTGTGGGGGTTACTTCATTCCTCAAGGTTGCCGGCTGCAAACAGCCCTGAGAGACGGCCAGGGGCGAAGAGAGAAGCACGTTGTGGTACACTGATCCGTGCCACAGCAGTGAGGGCAGAAGCACTGTGCCGAGCGCCAAACCAGACACCAAAGAGTGTATGCCGTGTGAGCCCATGGAGATGGAATTCCAGGACAGGCAAACCAATCTATGGTGATAGAAGTCAGATCAGCACGTGCCTGTGGGAAGGAGGTATTGCCTGGCAAAGGCAGCAGGAGCTGCCTACGGTGATGGAAACATGCCAGACATTGATCTGGTGGTGGTTGCACAAGTGCGTGCATTGAAGATTTGCATTTAAAAATTCATCACTGAAGCCGAAACCGGTTTGGCTCAGTGAATAGAGCATCGGCCTGCGGACTGAAAGGTCCCGGGTCGATTCTGGTCAAGGGCATGTACCTTGGTTGCGGGCACATCCTCAGTAACGGGTGTACAAGAGGCAGCTGATCGATGTTTCTCTCTCATCAATGTTTCTAGCTCTCTATCCTTCTCCCTTTCTCTCTGTAAAAAATCAATAATATATATATATTTTTAAAAATCATCCCTGAAGATTTGCATTTTTTTGCCCTGACTAGTTTGGCTCAGTGGTTAGATTGTCAGGCCTGTGGACCGAAGGATCTTGGTTTGAGTCCCAGTCAAGGGCACTGGGGTGGGTGCAGGAAGCAACCAATTGATGTGTCTCTTTTACATGGATGCGGTTTTTTCCCTCTCTCTCTAAAAGTCAATGGAAAAATATCATTGGATAAGGATTTACAATAAAATAAAATGAAGATTTGTATTTTCCTGGATGCACCCTAAATGTCAATGAAAATCTCTCTGTGAAGTCCGACTCAGCCTCTTTGCCCCACAGATGCTGGCGAGGACCCCACCCTTGAAGAGCCCAGGTCTTTCAGAGCTGGCAGGGTGTATGGGGGGGATCCGAGTCAGCTCACTCATAGCCTTTCCCACCAGCCTCCCCTCACGGGCTGCTCTGCTGTGTCCCCACCCACTCGCCAGGGCCCAGTCTCTCCCTATTTTCAAAGGGCAAGCCTCCGGACCCTCCCAGTTATCGCAGTCGGGGTCCCCTCCTCTCCAGACCTCCAGCTGGAGCCCCAGCGGCCTGCTAGGTGGCTCCCACTCCTGTCCGGATCCCCCCAAACCCGCCCCGCCTGTCATCTCTGAACCCCCTGCACAGTGGGAGGGAGCCAGAAAAGGCTAGTTGCCTGGGTAACGGAGGATAAAGCCCTTGCTCTGCTAGGCTGCTGATTGGCCGAGACAGGTCCCGCCTCCTGCCATCCTGAGGTTTGGGGCCAGAAGGAAGGGTCTCCGATGGGCAGGGAGAGGTACCAGGGTGCCCAGCCAGTCCAGGACTGTCCCCTGCTGGCCTCCCCCTCCCCCGACACCCCAAGCCCTGGGCCTGGGAAGCTCTGTCTCCCAGGGGGGACATTGGCCCCGTCCTTCCTCTGCCTCCACACCCAGGATGGCCGCAGCCGGCAGTGACCGTGGGGACAGCAGCCGTGACTAAGTCCACGGGCCGGTGCCGAGCCGCTGAGCCGAGCTAAGGTGCTGAGCTGAGCGCAGAGCCCCTGGAACAGGCATCTGCAGGGCGCGAGGTGGGTCTGTGGGCACGCGGGGGGCGGGGCGCCCCGGGGTGTCCGTGGCTCGGGAGGCAGGGAGAGGGGCTCTGCAGCCTCACACTGCTCTGTGCGGAACCGTGGCTGGAACGGGCCTGGAACATTCCTTCTAGATCCTCTGACAACTCCCACCCGCCCCCGCGCATGGGGGACCCTGAGGTCCAGAGAGGGCGAGGAATGGCCCAAGGCCACAGAGGAGGCCTGTGCGTGTTCTGCTCGGCTAGGCCAGCCGCCGAGAGCCGGACGCAGCGCCGGGGCCCGCAGGATGCCCCCGAGTGCCCGGGTTCTGTTCCGAGGGCTGGAGAGGTTGGGGGACCCTGGGCTCCGCTTCACGGGAATGCCTTCTGCTCTGCGGGGGGCCCCCCTGCTCATGTTTACGCTGAAAGGAGACTGGGGTCCTGGCTGGGGCCAGGGGAGGGGGCACCAACCACCTTGGTTTTAAGCAGGCTGGTTCAGAGCAGCCTGTCTGCTTGGGGACCCCTGTCCCACCTCCCCCAACCCAGGCAGCACCAGGCAGCTCTGAACTTCCTCTGGAGTTCCAGCAAGGCGCCGGGAAAGGAGGGCACCGCTGGCCTGACTCCGCGCCACCCAGGCTCTCTTCGCCTGACTGATCCGTGAGCAAGGCACCTGGGAAGCGTGGGGCCAGGCCTGTGCTCCAGACAGCAGCGGGGACCCGGGGGTGGGGACGCCGGACAAGCAGGCAGCACCTGCCTCCTCTGGGCCACAGCCCCCTCCCAGACCCACCTGCAAGCAGCGTGCAGGAGGCCCTGAGCGAAGAGGGTCCCACTCAGCCTGCCCCGGAGACCATCCATCCCGCCCTCTCCCCTTCCCGCAGGCCAGGGGGGCCTCTGCTCCTGTCTTTCCCGCCCAGGAGGACTCAGACCTCAGGACATCACCGGGGCTTGGGGTCTGGCTGTCGCCTCCCAGTTGGGTAACCCAGGCCAAGTGCGAGAACTTCTCTGGGCCCCGTTTGTGAGTGCGGACAGCCACCCAGCCCATCGGCCTTTGTCAGGGTTGTGAGCGCTTTCCACCAGCATCTCCCTTCCCTGCGGGGCTGCAGGCAGAGGGGCTCCTCCACCCGCCCCTCCTCACAGCTCAGGAAGGGTTTGGGGGTCACATGGTCCTGCTTTCCCCCATTTCTGGAGATGATCTGTGATCTGGCTTTGGAAGTATGAATTGGAGTTTGCCAGGTGACCATGAAGGAGAGGCCATTGAGGACGGGACGGATAGAGGGGGGAAGAAGGCTGGGACACACAGGTGCGGAGGTCTGAGAACAGTTCCACAGGAGGCCTCAGGGTGGGTGGGGAGGCGGGGAGGCTGGCAGAGAGCGATGTGAGCGCCTCGGGACCATTCTTACCGTCTGGGCATCTGTAACGTTGGTTTGCCTGGCTCCCCACACCTGCTGCCCCCATTCCCTGCCCTGGTCCACTGGGAATGACAATCTGGTAGCCACTCCTCAGGGAGTGCTGGTCCCTTGCGGGCAGCCTGGTGCTCAGTGCACTCAGGCACTGTCTCCTTAACCATTCACACTGACCTCAGGAATGCAGCCTACTTTTATTCCCATTCTACAGGAAAGGAAACTGAGGCTCAGAGAATAAGAACAAACTTACTATGTAACACTTATGTGCCAGGCCCTGGCTCTAAGCATTTCACGTAAATTAATTCATTTCAAGAGTCACAATTGCCCTATGACCTTAGGTATTATTTTTGTTCCCATTTTACAGATGTGGAAACCAAGGCCCACGGTGTTTGCCTGCACCCATACTCTCCTAATGATGAGATTGGGCCTGGGCCTGAATTCCAGAGCCTCTGTGGCCCCTGTGAATTTCAACCAGGTCCCCTGGGGATGGGTGCTTTTTCACCCCACTTTTACCAGCCACACCTGCCAGGATGGTGGGGGCCGGGGACCCGCCATCTGGGAGGGACTGGAAGGGGCAGCTCCTGGGACTAATGGTGCCGTGCTGTTAGGGCAGCTGAGAGGAGGCATCGCCCACACTGTCCTTTATGAGAGCTCTGAGGGGCAGTCGCCTCCGTGAATCCCCATGAGGCTCTGTTAGGGTCCCCTTCCTCGGGGAGGACTGAGGCCCAGCGCGGGCAGGCGCCTCGCCCGAGGCCATGTGCCCGAGAGGGCTGCGCCAGAGCCACGGCCCCCTTCACGGTGAGTGGGAGCCCGGGAGGCCCCTGTGATGGGGCAGTTCTGTGCTCGGTCAGGGAGCCGGTCCTGATCAGACGCTGCCCCCACTCTCCTGGGCCTCAGTCTATGGAGTGGCGCTCGGGCCTGGCTCTGTGGGCCTCTGTGACCTCGGACGGGCGGGCAGGACCAGGTCGCCCCGGCCCTCACCCCCGTGTCCCACAGCCAGCCGCTGTGATGCCTCACTTCCTGGACTGGTTCGTGCCCGTGTACCTGGTCATCTCCGTCCTCGTCCTGGCCGGCTTCGGCGCCTGCATCTACTACTTCGAGCCCGGCCTGCAGGAGGCGCACAAGTGGAGGATGCAGCGCCCCACGGCGGACCGGGACCTCCGTAAGACCCTGATGGTCCGCGACAACCTGGCCTTCGGGGGCCCAGAGGCCTGAGCCGCGGGCACCCGCCCAGCCCGCCCAGCCTGGAGGCCTGGGGCCCGGGCACCACTCAGGGCCCAGGCCAGCCTCCCGCAGTGGCCCTGGTGCTCCGGGCAGCCCTGGCTGTGGGAAGATGGGGCGTGGGTGCCTTGAGGTGTCACTGCTGCTGGCCCAGGGCTTGCCCCCCACCTCCAGCTCGCTCCCCCTGCCCGCCTTCTCCAGCTCTGGGGACACCCCCGAGGCCCCCCAGTGCCTTTGTGCTGCCAGCACTCCTGCCCCTCCCTCCACCTGAGCCTCCCGGTCTCCCATTTCCCACCGAGTCCCCAGGTACCCCCAGATGGCACCCACCCACAGCGTTCGGGCAGGCTGCCAAGCTCGCCCAGGGGAAAGGCCCGTCTGGAGGGAGGTCGGCTTGGTCCAGCCCAGCCCACCCCTCTGGACTGAGACTGGGCATTGGTGTGTGGAGGGGCACGAGGGGGCAAGACCATAGGGGAAGGAGGGTGTGTGTGTGTGTGTGTGTGTGTGTGTGTGTGAGAGAGAGAGAGAGAGAGAAAGGCTGAACAAAGTGGACAGACAGGTGGCGGGGAGGCCCGTGTGTATGTGAGAGGGAAGGTGGGAGGTGTGAGATGGGGTGGGCTCCATGGGCAGTGTGGAGCCAGCAGCAGCTCCCCCCCTCCCTCTGCTGGGCTTCCCCAACCTCTACTGCATTCCAGGCTGAGCCCAGCACCCCAGCCAGGCCCCAGCCTCGCCCACCCTGGAAGCCCCTCCCCTGGGAGCCTCACGTGGGCCTCACTCTCCTCCTCGGGCTTCCATCTCAGTTCACTGCAATAAAAGACTTCGTGCTGTCTTTGCGGGCCTGTCTCCGTCCCTGGAGGGGGGTCATGGCCGTCATCTCGCTGGGGGGAACTCAGATCGGGATGGATCTCCGCGGGGCAGAGCAGAACGTCTCACTGCGGCACCGGACATTCCCGGCCCGATCGCACTCTGTCGTGGGGCTGGCCGGGCTGTAGGCACCAGGAGCTCTTGCCCCTCCCAGGAACCCCTGGGGGGGAGAACCCGCTAGATCATAAATTCAGGAGCAGAGATAAACAAAACAAAACCAAACCCCAGCAGGGCCCCGTGGTACACTGGGGGGGGGGGGGGGGAGGCTGTCCAGAGCTGGTGCAGTGGCCGTTCCCACGCTGGTCAGAGACCGGAGCGGCTCTCCTCTGGCTGCTTCATTGCGCCAGGAAGTTGGCCCCATCCAGGGGCATCCTCCACATCCCCAGCAGCGTGGGGTGGGGGCGGGGGCGGAAGAGGCTGCCCCCTCCATTGACAGACCCTCCCTGACAGGCCGCACCCCCCCCTTCCCCTTATTTCCCACTGTCAATACTTAGGCACCTGCTAGTCCTAGCTGCAAGGGAGGCTGGGAAGTGTAGTCTTTAGCTGGGTGGCTCATGTCCATGGAAAAAGTCCACTTCTTTGAGTGAGGGGAACAGGTGAGACAGCTGCCGTTCCTTTGGTACAGGGATTTGTCTGAGGCCACAGGGCAGCGGCTGACAGGGGGGCTGGCTCTGCTGACCCCAGACCAGGGCTCATTCTCCCGTGTCCTCTAAGGAGCCGGGGAGGGCAGAGCTGTCTTCTCTCACAGTGAGGGCCCTGCAGCTTTCCCCGGGGCAAAGCCAGGAGCTGTCTTACCAAGCAGCGGAGTGGGGTGAGGCCAGAGGGGCCCCTCAGGGGCACAGCTGATTGCGTCCTCCAGTTCCCTGACCTGGGCACCTCTCTTGCTGCATGCTGACCAGCCCCCTGCTGCTCTGAGCCTCCCAGCGGGATCTCCTAACCCTCCCACCCCAGGCCGCCCCCTCACTATTGCCCGGACTCCTGCAGGCACAGGAGACCAGACAGAAAGCAGCGGGAATAAAAGGGATCAGTTCTGGGCTCACGCTGGACCCGGGACTCCAGGCCGTCACCAGCTCCACCCTCTGTCCCACTCAGTGCCGCTTCCTTCTCAGAGGGACCGTCTCCTCACAGCCTAAGGCGCCCGGCCGGCCCAGCTCACGCAGCCCTCAGCGCCTTGATGTCAGGGGCGGCACCTTGATTTCGTTCCTGCCAAAGCCCAGGGTGTGGAGTCCCATGGGCCTCGGGGTTCAGGAGCTCAGGGGATGGGGTGGCCGGATTGCCACGCAGCTCTGGTCCCCACCACTGTCACGTGGCCTGAGGCTGTAGGTAGCGGCTACTACCTAAAGGAGGGAAGAGAGGCTGGTGGGAAACAAGAAGTTTTAGGTAAATGCCTGAAACCAACATAATGATGTATGTCAATTGTAATTGAAAATAAGAAAATTATTTTTAAAGGAAAAGAAAACACCCAAGAATGTTGAGGACCCTATTGCATGGAGGAGGGAACCAGCTCAGGGAGAAGCCACCGGGGTCCCCCCCTCGGGGTTTCTGCCCCCCAGGGGGTGGGACTGGAAGTCTGAAACAGAGGGAGGGTAGACAGGAACCCCCTGAGTTTGGTGAGCATGTGAGCTGGGCTCTGAGTGCAGGCTGCCAGGTCGGGGGTGTCCGAGGCAGGTGGGCAGGGGAGTGGGAACTCTTTGGAGCACCTTCCAGATCACCCAGCTCAGGAATGGAGGGACCAGCCCTCACCGGTGTGGCTCAGTGGATAGAGCGTCGGCCTGCAGACTGAAAGGTCCCAGGTTCGATTCCGGTCAAGGGCATGTACCTTGGTTGTGGGCACAACCCCAGTGGGAGGTGTGCAGGAGGTGGCTGATCAACGTTTCTCTCTCATCGATGTTTCTAACCCTCTCTCTCTCTCCCTTCTTCTCTGTGAAAAATCAATTAAAAAAATTTTTTTTAAAGTCTTGTCAAAAGCTACCCATCTGTGTAGAGACTAAGATTTAGAGAAACTTGCAGGCTTCCTGGGGTCAAGCTATTGTGCAAGTTTTTAAAACTCCTTGGGTCCAGTCAGGGCACACACCCAGGTTGTGGGCTCAATCCCTTGTAGGGGGCGTGCAGGAGGCCGCTGTCCATTGATTCTCTCTCATCATTGATGTTTCCACCTCTCTCTGAAATCAATAAAAATATATTTTAAAATAATAATAAAATGCCTTGGAGGTTTTACCAAGTCCTGGGAGCTGTGGGGATAGGGTGGGTGTGTCTGGGCGGGGCCCAGAGCAGGAGGACAGGAGGGGAATGTGCAGGGTCCCTGCCTAGGAATGGCCACAATGTTCGGACTCTGGCCTGTGGGGTGGCACAGGCTGGTCATTGTTCCGCCCCCTCGGCTCTCTGCTCTGGCAGAGCCGAAGGGCTTGGGAAGGCTGAGAGACCAGCTCTGGAGCAGGCAGAGGCCGCAGCTTCACTCAGAAGGCCGTCCAATGTCTGTCAGCACCCTACAGAGAACCGGGGCGGGGAAGACCCCCTCAGCCCCACCGTCACGGGGGAGGGGCGCAGAATTCGGACCCCGGAGACCGGCGTCCAGCAACTGGTTCACTGTGAGAACCTTGGAAGCCCATGCCCCTCTCTGTCCTCAGCTGTGAACATCTGGAATTGATCCTGAAGTCACAGGAAATCGTGAGGATAAATAAAAAAGGACATCAGAATTGCAAGGCAACAGTTTTAATGTCTATCATGGCCTGAGCTCATTGCACCCCTCACCGCACTCTTACATCCATGGAGTGGGCCACAGTGCTGTTCACCCAACACTTCTGGCTCCTCGGTGCTCACACGCGGCAGGGTTACTCCTCCTCGTGTTGGGTGGGGCCATGAGGCCAGTTCTCACCAGCGAGTTCTGATCAGAAATGAATTCAGCACCTGGTAGCTAGTGCAGGATTCAGCACTCTCCCTCCCCTCCGCCACAATGACCAGCGGCTCCTGGGGGTGGCTGCCGGGCCCCAGAACGAAAATGCCATGGAGCAGAGCCTCAGCTGACCCAAACCACCACGCACCTGAGGCACGAATGAGAAGTAAACCTTAGTTATTAAAAGCTACTGGGATTTTGGAATTGTTACTGCAGCATAATTTAACCCATCCTGACTGATTCAATCCCCATTTCACAGATGGAGGAACTGGAGCTCAGAGGGACTGTGACTTGTTCAAAACCACACAGCTGTAATAAACCTGTGCCACTTGTCCGGGAGGCCACCACAGTGATTTTGTTTGCTTAGGCGGTCTGTCCTTCGAGGCCACTCCCAGGCATGTCAATCTTTCCTTGTGGGGGAAAGAAGGCTGTGTACACGAAGTAATTGGCACTTTGGGCCACTAGAGAGCAGCAGAACCCAGGTTTGTAATTGCTGTGCTGGGCAGGTGCTGTCCTCCAGGCCTCACCGCTGAAGGAGAGGGCCAGGCAGGTGGGGGCGGGGCGCCAGTGTGTGTGTGTGTGTGTGTGTGTGTGTGTGTGTTGGGGGGAGATACAGAGATGAATGATACTCATTCCTTGCTCTCGAGGTCTAACAGCCTGGCAGGGGGCGAGATGAAAGAATTCTAGCGTTCAAGCTAGAGGAGGCCTCATGAGGACATCTGGTCCCTGTTTGAAAGGCAACTGAGGCCCAGCAGGGCAGGTGATCTGACAGAAGCTGCAGAACGAACTGTTGGCCAAAGTGGGGAGAGGACCAGGGCCCCCGACCTCCGCGCAGGATTTCTGCACCTCTCCAGTCTCCCTTACCCTCTCCGGCCCGGCCGCCCCTCCCTCAGGCCCTCGGTTCTTCCTCCAGTCCGGCTGGCTGGCCGCAGGCCTCAAAGCAAAGAGGGAAGGGGGTTAGAACTCCAGGCGGCTCCCCTCCCCCGCCCACTGGCCAGCCAGCAGGTTGCCCTGGCAACAAGCACACAGGCAAGTTTGAAAGCCTTTAGCTCCGGAGGGAGGGAACGGATGAGGGGAAGGCCCCAGGTCCATAGAGTCACCATTCATTCACTTATGGGTTCATAGATTCCACAGTCATGTACTGAGGCTGATTCTGCCGGGCCCGGGGCCTGGTGAAGAATGAACCCAGGCCCTTCAGAACCTTACTGTGCAACAAGACAGCCACTGCACAGAATTAAAT